AAAACCACTGCAGTACATTCACGTTCTCATTCCTTCGGAGCAGGTTTTTAAAAAATCTTTGCAGATTAGTCAACATTATATAAGACTATTTCTAAATACAAGCAAAGAAATGCCAAGGGTCTCACTTTACACTTGGTTTATGAGTTTTCTTAATTGATTAGGGTCCATTAAACCATCCTGGTAATCCCCATTTTACAGAGTAGGTGCTATAACCACATACTGTGAAACAAAATATTTGCCTCAGATGACAGGGTCCAGACATGAAGCCTCACCCCAGGTAGCTTAGTCTGCTGCATAGTGCCTAGCTCAAAAAGCCTTGGTGCCATGTGGTCTTTCCATGTACTGTGACCTGAAGATACAGATGTCTCTACTTGTGGTACCTGCCAACACTTGAGCTGGCTACAGGTCAGTAATGTTTGGAACAGGTGCTGGCTCAAGGGCAAAGACTACCCTCTCTTCCTTCTATGCTCCAGATTATCCTTCAGTGGAAAACCCTTTCCAGATGCAACATATGGTATAGTAGAATTCATGAAATATGAAACAAATGATCTGTGTTAAAATCTTGGCTTTATCTACTAATATCCTCCTTCATGCCTCCACCCTCTGGGCCTCAGTTTATTCACTGTATTTACTTCATGGACTATTAGGAAGACCAAAGAAGATAATGCAGCAGTTCCCGTCTGTAAGCTACAGACCCCTGAGCATCTTTGGCCATATTACAAAAGGCCTGAAAAAGCATACACTAAAGAAAAAGAATCATTTAGGGATTGAGACTGAAAACCTTGGAGTAAAATGGTCTGGGTTCAAATAATGGTTTTATCACTGGAGCAAGTTACTTAGTCCATCTATGTCTCAGTTCCTTACCTGTCATTAGAGAAAGCAGTACCTACTTCATTGGGTTATTGTGAGGAATAGCTGTCTTTATATGTAAAATGCAGAGAACCGTGACTGGAAGGCATAGGAAAACTCATCAAAGATTAGCTATTGTTACTATTATATGTGCTTATCATGTGGGTGTTTACCAAATTTTTTATGTTAAAAAGGGTTGTTATACTTGAAAAGGTTAAAGGCTTCTAAGATAATAGTTGTAAAAAGAATCCAGTACACAACCTGCCATGTCCTAACCCAGAGTAACTTGAATCTATCATTTCAATCTTTTAAAATTAATATAGGCTGTTTTGTGGTCTAACATGGTCTATTCTGGAGAATGTTCACGTGCACTTGAGGATATACATTCTGTTGTTGTGAGTAGAATGTTCTGTATATGTATGTTAGGACTAATTAATTTAGTGTTGTTCAAATTCTCTACCAATTGATCTTCTATATTGTTCCATACTGTTGATCTATCCATTACTGAAGTCTCCAACTATTACTGTAGAACTGTCTATTTCTCCCTTACATTGTCAATTTTTGCTTCACCTATTTTGGGGGGTCCTTCATTGGATACATATATGTTAATAATTGTTACATCTTCTTGCTGTATTGAACCTTTTTTCAATAAATAATATCCTGCTCTGTCTCTTGTAAACTTTTTTGATTTAAAGTCTATTTTGTCTGATATTTAAGAGCCATCCCAGCTCTCTTTTGGTTATCATTTATATGAATTATCTTTTATTTTGAGTGGGGGAATTTTTTTTTTTATTGATATAAAATCAGTATATAACATTATATAAGTTTCAGGTGTACAACATTATACTGTGACATTTGTATACACTACAAAGTGATCACCAAAATCTAGTTACTATTCATCATCCTACAGTTGACCTCCTTCGCCATTTCGCTCACTCCCAACTCCCTTCCCCTTTGGTAACCGCCAATCTGTTCTCTATATGAGTTTATTTTTGTTGTGTTCTGTTTATTCGTTTTATTTTTAGATTCCACCTGAGTGAAATCACAAGGTATTTGTCTTTCTCCATTTGACTTATATCACTTCACATAATGCCATCAAGGTCCATCCATGCTGTCCCAAATGGCAAGATTTCATCTTTTTTATGGTTGAGTAGTAGTCCATTGTATATATGTACATCTTTTTTATCCACTCATCCATCAATGGACACTTACATTGTTTCCATATCTTGGCTACTGAATAATGCTGCAATAAACATAAGGTTATATATCTCTTTTCAAATCAATGTTTTTGTATTCTTCAGATACATACCCAGAAGTGGAATTGCTGGCTCATATGGTAATTCTATTCTATTCTGAGGAGTCTCCATACTGTTTTCTATAGTGGTGCACCCAGTTAATGTTCTTACCAACGATGTACCCTTTTCTCCACACTCTCTCCAACACTTGCTATTTTTTGTCTTTCTAATATTGGTCAATGTAACAAATATGAAGTGTTATCTCACTGTGGTTTTGATGTGCATTTCTCTGATAATTAGTGATGTTGAATATCTTTTCATGTGTCAATGAATATCTTTTCATTGGCCATCTGTGGATCTGTGGAAAAATGTGTAATCAGATCATCTGCTCATTTTTTTGTTTGTTTGTTTTTATGTTATTGAGTTGTGTGAGTTCTTTATATACTTCCAATATTAACCCCTTATCAGATGTAGGATTTTCAAGTATCTTCTCCCCATTCAGTAAGTTACCTTTTTGTTTGACTGATGGTTTCTTTCACCAGGCAGATGCTTTTTAGTTTGATGTAATTCCATTTGTCTATTTTTGTTTTGGTTTCTCTTGCCTTTTAAAACAATACTAAGACCAATCCACGAAAACAATACTAAGACCAATATCAAGGTTCTTACCACCTACTGCTATCTTCTAGGAATTTTATGGTTTCAGGTCATCCATCATTTAATCCATTTTAAATTAATTTTTATATATGGTATTTGACAGTGGTTTAGTTTCATTCTTTTCAGGTGGCAGTCTAGTTTTCCCAACACCATTTATTGATGAGACTGTCCTTTCTCTATTGTGTTCTTGGCTCTTTTGTCATAAATTAATTGTCCAAATATGTATGAGTTTAATTCTGGGCTCTCAATTCAGTTCCACTGATCTGAGTGTTCATTTTTATGCCAATACCATACTGTTTTAATTATTATAGATTTGTAGTATAGGTTCTTTGTTCTTTCTCAAGATTGCTTTGGCTATTCAGGATCTTTCATAGTTCCATACAAATTTTAGAATAATTTGTTCTAGTTCTGTAAAAAATGCCACTGGAATTTTGTTAGGGATTGCACTGAATGTATAGACTGCTTTGCATAGTACTGACATTTTAACAATATTAATTCTTCCAGTCCATGAGCACAGAATTATCTTTCCATTTATTTGCATCTTCCTCAATTTCTTTCATCAGTATCTTATAGTTTTCAGTGTACAAGTCTTTTACCTCCTTGGTTAAATTTATTCCTAGGTATTTTACTCTTTTTGATGCAATTGTGAATGTGATTGTTTTCTTAATTTCTCTTTCTGATACTTTGTTATTTATAGAAACACCACAGATTTCTGTACATTGATTTTGTATCTGGTTACTTTACTAAATTCATTTAGTAGTTCTAATAGTTTTTTGGTGGTGTCTTTTGGGTTTTCAATATATAGTATCATGTTATCTGCAAATGGTGACAGTTTTACTTCTTCCTTTCTGATTTATATGCCTGTTATATTCTTTTCTTGCCTAACTGCTTTGGCTAGGACTTCCAATACCATGTTGAATAAAAGTGCCAAGAGTGGGCATCCTTGTCTTGTTCCTGATCTTAGAGAAATAGTTTTCAGCTTTTCACCATTGAGTATGATGTTAGCTGTCAGTTTGTCATATATGACCTTTATTTTGTGGAGGTATTTTCTTTCTATACCCACTTTGGTAAGAGTTTAACCATAAATAGATGTTGAATTTTATCAGAAGACTTTTCCGCATCTATCAAGATGATATAATTTTTATCCTTTATTTTGTTAATGTGGTATATCACAATGACTGACCTGCAGATGCTGTACCATCCTCGCATCCCTGGAATAAATCACACCTGATCATGATGTATGTGATCTTTTTAATGTACTGTGGAATTTTATTTGCTATTATGTAAAGGATTTCTGCATCTATGTTCATCGATGATGTTGGTCTATAATTTTCTTTTGTAGTGTTCTTGTCTGGCTTTGTTATCAGGGTAATGCTGGCCTTGTAAATGAGTTTGGGAGCATTCTCTCCTCTTCATAGGATAACTATTAAAATATTCTTTAAATGTTTGGTAGCTTCACCAGTGAAACCATCTAGTCCTGGACTGCTGTTTTTTGGGGGAGATTTTTTTGATTAACGATTCAATCTCCTTACTAATAATCAGTATATTCAGATTTTGTTTCTTCATGATTCAGTCTTAGAAGATTATATGCTTCTAGGAATTTATCTATTTCTTCTAGGTTGTCCAATTTGTTGGCATACATGACATATCTTTTTCCATCCTTTTACTTTCAATCTCTGTATATCTTTGTATCTAAGGTGAGTTCCTTATAACAATATATAGATGGATCATGGGTTTTTTAAATCCAATCTACCAATCTCTGACTTTTAATAGAATTTAATCCACTTAATTTAAAGTAATTAATGATAGGGAAGGATTTATTCCTGCCATTTAGTAATATGTTTTCTGTATATTTTATGTTTTTGTTCCTCATTTCCTCCAATGCTGCTTTAAAAAAAAAGTCTGATTCCTATCTGCAAGATTCATTGAAGGCTTGGTCTTCCCAGTCCAGTGATTACTTATCCCTCTACTTGAATAGTTCCTAATGAATAATTCCTTCATGAATATGTCCCAAAATGTTTAAAAAGAAGAACTTATCTTTTCTGGCCATAAAAGTAGTCTCGGGTTCTATCCCCATTTCCACCCTTTAAATCACTTGTACCTTAAACACACACCCATCATACACTAGTCACCATTCATACATAAAGTTCATTATTACTGCCCACTCTCTACCTGTACGTGGCCCGGGTTAGGGTGAACCCTAGAATACTTAGGAAAGGTCTATTGATCATTGACAAAGAAGAGAGAATCAAAATGGCTTACATTGTAGGAGCGGGGATGCCTCTGTTTCCACTGTACCAGGAGCAGCTGGGCTACTACTAAGGTAGCAATGAGGATGAGGACCATTTCAGCGTGCATGGCTTCGTGGCCACGGTGCTTGGCATGCATGCGTGCATGCTCGACCCTAAAAGCCAAAGAGATGCAGTGAGCCAGGTCAGGGGTGGTAAAGAGCCAGTGCTTTCCAGGGGTATCCTACCAGTCCAAAGTTCAGAACACACTCTTGTGCTCTGTAGCTGCACGGTACTGTTCAAATCAAAGGCTAGAAACACACATGTTCTAAACGACAGGCATTTTGGGACAGAACAGGGGCTCTATGGACTCCAGTCACCAAGCTCAGCTACTGGGGTTAAAGGTGGGTGGTCTGCTGCCTGCCCCCACTGGCAGATACAGCTGACACCTTTCCTGCAGCAGGAAAGAGACTCCAAGAGAAGCCTGTTTCACTGCCCATTTCAGTCCTATTTCACTGGAAGGAGAAAGTAACTCAGAGAAGATTATAGCCATAAAGTCTTATACTCTTAGTCAGTGATATTTATGATATCAATAAAAAAGTAACATTGCAAATGTGTGCTAATTCTTGGGATAAAGTCTTGCTTTATTTGTCCTACTCGCTCTCTGAAAACTAATTACAGTCTAAGAAATCTGGACTGCTTTGACTTTATATTAATTCAAAAATGACTTCACCGTCAGCACCCACAAGTAATAGCCTCCCCAAAGGCTCAAGGAGGGTACAAATGGAAACTCTCATTTAAACCAAGCCTGACATTCTCTCTTCCTAAAGACTTGCAGTAAGCTACTCTCTTGGCCAATACAGGCAAAAAGCTTCCTCTAAGAACAGAGAAGAACAGTCACTCCTACTACTCTGGGTCAGAGTCAGCCAAGGGAGAAGAATGAGGAAGGAGACAGAAAACTAAATACAAATGTAGCCTGCAGTCAGGACTTTTTAAACAAATTTTCCATACATGGGGGTATTAGGGAGGAAGGAAAAAAACAACATAAATGGTATCTTCATGGAATTCACAAGGACAAGAACCCCGTGGGATAAATTATGGATAAATGATAAAGTAAATATAGCAAAAAGTTAATAGTAGAATCTAGGTGGTGAGTGTAAGGGTGCTAACTATACACTTCTTCCATCTTTTCTGTATGTTTGAAATTTTTCATAATAAAATGTTAGGAGGGGCAGCCAAATGTAAGTTAGCCAGCCAGCCACAGCATCTAAGAGTTCATTTTACATAAAACATTATCCTGCGTGAGAGAATCTGACAAAAAGATAATAAGGTTAGGAGTCAAAAACTTTAAGATGTAGATACTTTTGTGGCCTTGGCCAAGAAAATTCATATCTCTACATCACTATTTCTTCATCGGTCAAAAGGAGTCCATATCTTTTCTACCTCCCTCAGGGTTATTGTGAGAATAAGCTAAACTAAAAGGACTAAGAACACTTTAAAAACCTAAGGATTGTGGAAAGTTATGAAGATAACTAGGGATAAGTTTCTTGTTCTCACACAGTATATAACTGTATGGATGTGCACAAAAGGAAATGAAAGAAAAGATCTAGAAAAGATCAGAGGAGCCATCTAGTTCAAGTTCCCACCCAATGCAAAACTTATTTTTGAAATCTTTTGTTTGAATACTTCTATTGGCTGAGAACATATGCCTCTTAAGATAGTCTAATCTAGAACCAGCAGTGTCTGGGATATAGTAAGTATTCATATGTGCTTATGAAGGAACAAAATTCCAATGCTTTTAAGAGGCAGGAAGTTCACTACCTCTCAGTATACCATGATTATTAAAGATGTTTCTGATAATAAAAAAAAAAATCTATCTTCCTACAGCTTCAATCCATTGGATCTAATCCTATACTCTGGAACAACAAAGGACACGTCAACTCTTCTTTTCCAATGCTGCCTCTTCAAAGATTTCTCATTAACTTATTTTTTAAAAAAAGAAAACTATCCTTTTTTTTAACCATTTTCCTGGCCTTTTTAATTCTAGATCTTTTAAACACCATTAATATTACATAATGTGAAGACCATTAATCCTGTTTGCCTTCATCTAACTAAAGATCTTCTTAATACACAGCATTTACAACATAATCAGTGTGGCCTCAGTGAAGCAGAGCATAATGGCACTGTTGCCTACCTTAATGCAGATAGTATATTTCTATGAACCTCTTCCAAATTATTTAGAATATTCTGGTAGCTGAGATATATGAATGGTGCATATTAATAAGCTTAAAGTCACCTAAACCCTCACTGGGTTTGTTGTATGAGTTAATACCTTTGCCATTCTATATTTTTATAATCAATAGTTTTAATCTAAAGGGTTTTTTTTCCATTAAAATTTATCTGGTTGATTGCATTGGCCAGTCATCTTATGACGTTTGTGAGGCAACAAGCACTCTATGACACCGTTAATGATGAGAAATTATGACAATAAGATATTTGTTGACTCACTCTGATTACACAGCAAGTTAGTAGCAAGTTGAGATGGAAAACACATCTTCCATTTTTTCAATCAGAGCCCCCTGCCCGGTTTCATGGATAATGATGATGATGTTAATGATGATAATCATATTCAAAGCAAGTAACACTTACAGGAAGCTTATCACATGCCAGGTACTGTTCTAAAAATTTCACATATATTAACCCTCACAACAACTCTATGAGGTACAGGTACTGTTTTGATCCTCATTTTACAAATAGAGAAAACTAACGCAATGAAAAGTTAAGTAACTTGCCCACGATCACATAGCTAGGAAATGGCATAACTAGCATTCAAACCCAGGTGGATGATTTGGTGCAATTACCTATTTACTCTCCAAGACTGAGGGAGCTACCCAAGAGTGACCTAGGTACTAGAAAAAAATCCCAGAAAAACTATCCTACTGGTCATGAGTCACTGCCTCCCACAGACAAAGAAGCAAAAAGGGTAAATATACAACTCTACTAGTTGCATTAACCTACAGTTCCCAGCCTCAGGGGCCCACACCATCACACTTACCTCCATTGCTCCTCTGGGGAGAGGTGTGACATATCAACCTGTAGAAAGACACCACCAGAAAAATCCATTACTATCTTAGAACTCTCCCTGCTCAACATAAGGTGCTCACACATTCATCAGTATCTTCAAGGAATTACAGGAAGCTTCAAGTGTCACACTCTCTATGAAGCCTTCCCTAGTACTCTAATAGTACTCTATTTCCCACTGAGCTCTTCCTTCTCTAACCACTTACTCTGGCTCATGTCTATGACATCATTGTTCCTTTCTGTGCTAGGCAATAAGGACAGAAGAGTGACCCTAATTCCCAAGATGCTCACAACCTAGTGAGGAAGACAGACATAAAAACAGAAAATTTCTTTATTAGATGCCGAAGACTATCTATGAAAGATTAAAAAAGTGGCTTCTAATCCAACGTGGGGTGTTACATATTAGTTAAGACCTCCTAGAGTAGATTTAAAATATTATCCAAATGTGGAAATGAGAGAAATATGTTCCAGGCAAAGGGACTAACATGAACATGAAGAAATAAAGCTGCAAAACATACAATTGAGTATGCCTAGAGCAAAAAGTACAAATCGGGATTAGTGAGAGTGAAGCTAGATAAAATATCCTGTCATATAATGCCATTTGACTCTAAATGGTAGCAGGTAGAACATTACACTAGGGTGAACTAAGCTTCAGTCCTTGCTTTGCTTTTAACTAGCAGTATGGCTTTCCAACTTCAAAGTTCTGGTTCTACTTATTAGCCTTGTCCTTTTAGAGCACGGTTTCTCAAGTTTGGCATTAGTGATATGTTGGGCTGGTTAATTCTTTGTTGGAGGGAGGTGGGTATCTGTACAATGTAGAACGCTTAGTAGCATCCCTGGCCTCCGCCCACTAGATGCCAGTAGCACCCCCGAAGAGGCAACAACCAAAATATCTACAGACATTGTCATATGTCCCCTGGAGGATGAAAACTGCCCCCAGTTGAAAACCACTGCTCTAGAATAATAATAAACTCTTTGAGTTGAGGGCTCAAGTATTTTACTTCCTTGTAGCCATACAGAAGTATATCCAAGTCCCAGTAAGTAAATCATGCAATACATTCTTATACTAAACTGAACTGACAATGTTCCTTGATGCGGAGAAGAGAGACAAAGCTCAGAATCACTCAAACAAATCAAAGAGCAAATACTCCCTCAGTACTTATGATGTCAAAGGCCCAGTATTCCACTATTCTCGTAACTGCAGAAAAGTACTTTAAGTGGAATGTTTGAAGTACAATGGGTAGAACTCCATTCTACTACTGAGTCAAATCGGCACATATTTACCAGGCATTCTTTATGTGTGTGTACTGAAAATGCCCATTACTATTTAGGAACAGCTTTCTAGGAAGGGAGGGAAAGAAGTGAAGAGGGAAAGGAAGAAAGGTAGGTAAGTAAGTAGGTAGTTAGGAAGGATGTCCTAAGGCTTCACAAAGCTGGTCAAGGTAATGAAGTAAACCACCTTCCTCCCTTTTTCTACTTCACACACTGCCTCACAGTATTAACTCAGGTGTTCTGATTCAGGCCTTCATCTCCCCAGAAGGACAGAGGTCCCCTCTGAGAGGGGACAAGTGGATGCAAGAAATGGAAAGGCTCATCTAGGTGGTTCCTGAGCAGAAAATTAAGAACCAAATTTCATGCTACCTGTCACAACGCTTTCTTTCTTTTCCAACTTGTACCTGCATCTTGCCAAAGCAGTCTGTTCACTGTCTCAAAACACATGGGACTCATTCCTGTCTCTGGGCCTTTGCATAGTCTTCATTCTGCATGAAATATCTTTTTCTTCCTTTTTTCCTATCCAAATCCAACTTATCTTTTCAGAACTTAGCAGCAATTTCACCTTCCCTGATCTTCTAGCTTAGTGAATTTGGCCTTCTGCTTTTCTCCAGCATGGATTTTCTCCCCTGATATTCAAAGTCTGGCCCAAGAACTAGCATTATCTGGGTGCTTGTTAGAAATGCAGAATCAAAGACTTCCAGTCAAGATGGCAGAGTCGATAAACACTGTGCCCACCTCCTCCCACACTTCATCAAAATTACAACCAAATTATAGAACAACCGTCATTGAGAACCACCTGACAACTAACTGAACAGAAGTCTTAAAACTAAGGATAAAGAAGAAGCCACTCAAGACTGGCAGGAAGGGTGGAGACACGGAACAGGTAAGCCCCACACTCATGGTGTGGCAATTAAGAATATGGACGGGGAGGACTTCTAGTCAAGATGGTGGAGTAGGTAAATGCTATGCTCACCTCCTCTCACAATCACATCAGAGATACAACTAAATTACAGAATAAACATCATTGAGAGCCACCTGAAGACCAGCTGAACACAATTCCTTTATATCCGTAGTTATGGATATAAAGAAGCCACATCAAGACTGCTAGGCAGGGTAGAGATGCAAAACAGGCATCTCAGCTACTGAGATTCCCCTGAGAAGCAAGGGGTCCTAGCCCCACATCAGGCTCCCCAGCCTAGGACTCCAGTGCCAGAAAGAGAAGTCCCCATAATATTCAGCTGTGAAAACAAGCAGGGACTGTGACTGAGTGAGTTGAAGGGTTGCTGGAAATCTAGGCACTACAAGTGTTAAAGGGATCATATGTAAACTCACTGACTCAAACTCATTCACTCTGAGCTCCAGCACTGGGGCAGCAGCTCAAAAAGCTCCAGGGACATATGGGAAGTAGGTGAACTGACTAGCTTCAGGGCATTGGCTGGAGGGGTAGGAGTCAGGGCAGCTCTCTCCTAAAGGGAAGTGCTGACAAATGCAACTGTTTCCTTCTTGAGCCCTCCCTAACCTAGGCAGCAGGTGCAGGTAGGTGCCAAATCTGAACTCCCTATTAACTTGGCTAACACCATTTGCCCCACTCTGGTGATTCCCCAAGATATCTGCCCCACTCAACTGGTGTGTCAGGTCTGAATCTCTTCCAATGGCTCCTCCACACAAACAGCCTTCCTCAGCTAGTGCTGCAGACTTCCTTAAAATCTCTCAAAGGTCCACAAACCCCCCCAAAAGCAGCAGCCAGCTTCAGTGTGCCCAGTACCTCTTGCTAAGTGGCCCCAAGACTAGCACTAGTAGCAGCCAGCCTCGGTTCTCAGTCTAGCTTCTCCCAGGTGCCTCCAAAACTGACACAAGCAGTAGCTGACCTGGCCTGCACCAGAGCCGCCCACCCGCAACCTAAGAGGCCCCAGAACCAACACACTCCGTGGCCAGCTTCAGACCACACCAGAATACCACCCAACTTCACAAATGATACACCCAAACGGTGGATTCAGAAAGCACCACAGCCCTGTTAAAGTGAGTTCCACTCCATGGAGTCAGCTCCCACACAACAGCACATCCACTATAGTCATGGCCATTCATCACAGCCAGTAAGCCTGAGGATCAATCCCGCCCACTGATGTGCTAACAACAGTCAAGGTCCAACCACAACAAGAGAGTACACACAACCCACACCTGAGACTCCCCTGGAGCATCCAGCTCAGTGACCAGGAAGACTGTGCCACTGGGTCCCACAAAAACCTACTATATAAGGCTACTCTGCCAAGACTGGAAAACGAAGCAGATCTAATACACAGAAACACACACACAGAGGCAACCAAAATAAGGAGACAAAGAAAGATGTCCCAAAAGAAAGAAAAAGGATGAAACTCCAGAAAAAGAACTAAATGAAATGGAGACAAGCATTCAACTAGATGCAGAGTTCAAAACACTGGTTATATTGATCCTCAATGAACTTAGGGGAAGAACTCAGTGAGAACTTCAATAAGAGACAGGAAACATAAAAACAGGAGATAGAAAACACGGAAAAAAAAGTCAAAAATGAAGAAGAAATGAAATGAGGAGTACATTAGATGGAATCAACAGCAGACTAGATGAAGCATATGATCAAATCAGCAATCTGGTAGACAAGGTAGTGGAAAACACCTAATCGGAACGCAAAAGAAAAAAGAATTAAAAAACATAAGGATAGTTTAAGGGACTTCTGGGACATCACCAAATGTAACAACATTCAAATCATTCACATAATAGGGGTAACCAAAAGGAGAAGAGAGAGAGAGAGAGAGAGAGAGAGAGAGAGCGCGAGAGCGAGAGCGAGAGCGAGAGCGAGAGAGCGCGAGCGCGCGCGCACGCAAAGGATTGAGAAACGATTTGAAGAAAATAATGATCGAAAATTTCCCTTACCTGGCAAGGGAAACAGACATAAGTCCAGGAAGCAAAGAGAGTCTCAAACATGATGAACTCAAAAAGGCTCACATCAAGACATATCATAATTAAAATGCCAAAGGTTAAAGACAAAGAGAGAATCTTAAAAATAGCAAGAGAAAAGCCATTAGTTACGTACAAGGGGGTTCCCATAAGACTATCAGCTGATTTTTGAACTGAAACTTTTCAGGTCAGAGAGACTGGCACAAAATATTCAAGGTGATGAAAAGCAAGGATCCACAACTAAGGTTACTGCACGTAGCAAGGCTATCATTCAGAATTGAAGGAGAGAGAGAATTTCCCAGACAAGAAAACACTAAAGGAGTTCATTACCACCAAACCAGTATTACAGGAAATGTTAAAGGGCCTTCTTTAAGAAAAAAAATAAAAAATATATGAATAATAAAATACAGTAGAGGAAAGAAAAAAATTCTCACTGACAAAGGCAAACAATAAAAAGCAGTGGATCAATCCACTGTACAAAGATTAAAAAACAAAAGTAGATCATGTGTAATTACGACAAATTAAGGGATATATACAGACACACAAAAGAAATAAACAATGACAAAAACATAATTGTGAAGGGGATAAGTAAAAACTGTAGTGATTTTTTAATGTTTTTGAACATAAATGACCATCAACTTAAAATAGACTGCTAAAAACAGAGTATGGCATGTGAAGTACATGGTAATCATAAATCAAAAATCTATGAAAGAAAAAAAAATCTATAAAAGATATACAAGAAATAAAAAGGAATCCAAACACAACACTACAGAAACTCATCAACATACAAGAGAATAAGGAGCAGA